TTTTAAGAGTCTCTGAAAGTTTTTAGTTAGTGTGGATTATATAGACAGCAGGTGTGAGAATCACAAGAAGAAAGGAAAAGGCAGGCTTGAGTTTTTTCTATAAAATCAGATTAAGGGTTGTGTAGTGTTACTGATTTTCAATCATAACTGCTAACTTGTATTAAGTAACTGTTAATATTGTTGTGTTTTATGTAGATTATCTTCCTAAGAAAAGTTTGATGCAGTTTTACCGGCAGGTACTCTTTCTACCCCAGTCTTACCTGTGGGGAGCAGACAGTGTGAGGTTAGTAATGGTCAGAGCTCAGATTTACATCCTGAGGGGCGCCGGGGGGGCTCCGGCATTGGGCGTCTGCCTTCGGCTCCGGTCGTGAGCCCAGGGTCCTGGGATCGAGCCCCGCATCGGGCTCCCTGCTCCGCGGGAGGCCTGCTTCTCCCTCTCCCGCTCCCCCTGCTTGTGTTCCCTCTCTCGCTGTGTCTCTGTCAAATAAATAAAAAATCTTAAAAAAATAAAATTCACATCCTGAATCCTGAAAGTCAGACCACAGAGCCTTACTCTTACTTTGATCAAGAGCTCTCCTCCCAGATTATGCATACATTATTAAACCTACTTTCTTCACTTAGTAATTCAGCTTAAATTTCTTTCTCAAATAGTATAAATCAGTGTCATTATTAGTAAGTATATTGGATGCCATTATAGCAGACCATAATTGGATCATAATTTATTTACTCTGTCCTCTACCATGAGATATTTCTACTTGTTTTTTTCATTTTTTAAAATGATTCTCTGGAAAATCTGAATAAAATTGATGGATTACATCAGTATCAATGTCCTGGTGGTTATATTGTACTACAGATTTGTGATGTATTACCATTGGGGTAACTGGGTAAAGGGTACAGGATCCCGCTGTATTATTTCTTACAACTGCATGTGAATCTACACTTATCTCAAAATTTTTGGAACATAGCCCTTGAACATTCTGGTATATATATTTGTGCACTGCTGTACCTATTTCCTTGGGATAAGTTTCAAAAAGCAGAATACTGCATCAAAACTATACTTCTGTTAAGTGCTTACAGTATGATAGGAGTATTTGGAACAGCAGATGACTAAGAGGACATTGTTACCTGCACATTGCTTATGAGGCAGCCAGAAAGGGAAACTGGATGGAAGCCCAGGGCAGCCTGCGGTCAAGGCCTGTAGAGACTTCTAGGTGATTGTGCCCTGAGAGGTGCTGGGAAGGGGACATCATTCTTACTGTGGCCACTGTTGTCAGGTTATGACCAGATAATTCTGAACACATGGGCTCTGTGTGGCATACAATGGAATTTGTTTTCTAAGTTTTATACCTTAACATGTTTTCTCTAATGACGTTGACACAAAGTGAAGACTAACAGGGTCAGGTGGTTTAGCATTCCACAGGACACCATGGCTGGAAGGACAAGCTCAGAAGTCAAGTTCACCCTCCCACCAAGATAGCTGTCAATATGTACAGGTTGTCCCTTGGAATCTTAGTCATTTTTCCAGTCAGTGCCCTGACATATGTGGGTATAGGTAGACATCAAAGAGTTAGTTTAGGTATTAAGCAAAAAGAAACAAAGGTTGTGTATAAAATAATGCAAAGGTACCTCAAAAGGAAACTGTTTAAAGAGAAGTTTCTCTGAGAGTCTGTCATTTATGAATTGAAAAGAAATAAACACACACACATACATATGTCAGGCCAAAGCCTGGCTCTTGTTACACACCCAGTGAGGTATATTTAAAAAAGAAAATCAAGGTCAGAGGTGTGTCAGAATCACCAGGACCGCCACCAGGTTCTGTGATTGTCTAGGTGGACTCACAGGATTCACCACATAGTCCTTTTCCAGGCCAGGATTTATTACAATGAAAGGACACACAGCACCATCAGCAGAGGGAGAGGCGCAGAAGACGGATGACATCAGGAGGAAACCAGACACACGCTTCCCAGGGCACTTTCCCAGTGCAGTCCACACAAGGCATGCTTAATTCCTTCAGCAGCAAGTTACAGCAACACATGCAAAGCCTTGTCCACCAGGGAAGCTCATCTGGGCCAAGGAGGCCAGGGTTTTTATCAGCGGTCAGTCACACAGACACCCTCTCTCTGGCACATACCAAAATTCCAGACTCCCAGAGGCAAGCAAGCGCCCAGCAGTATAAACCACATCTTTTATACAAACAGTTGAAGAGCAGTGAGCCACTCTTGTCAGTTAGGGAACAGCGGGGACCTTCTGGAAGTCCAGCTAAGGGCCAGTCTTGCAAGCAGTTTCAAACCTGCTCATTACTCTTTCTGCACAAGGGATCTATCTATCTGTTGATGTTATGGTTTGCTTCTGTCTGTATGTGTCTCTTCTCTCTCTCTCTATATATATATACACACACACACGTATCCTATATACGTGCATCCTGTGTGTATGTATACATAGACACATATGTTCGTATATAGAATTTTACAAGTGTATTGTTGTATCCTGTTTTGGTAGCCTGATTTCTCTGCTGACAGTGTATCTGAAGTGTTACTGTCTTGTAAGGATTTCTTCAAACATTTCATGATCCTTGACTCTTTTACATCAATACTCTGCATGTATTTCTGCAGTGAGCTTTTCTGGGCGCAGGGCGCTGAATGTTGCCTGGGCCTTTGCTTCTCCACCCTGTCCATCTGCCATGTTTTGACCAACCTCACCCTACCTAGAGGCCAGGAGAGGTTCAAGTTTGGATGGTGCAGCCCCTCTTCACCCTGGGTGGTGTGGCTAGAGGGAGTGGGATGTTGCTCAGCATCAGACCAAGCATCCTAAACGCACCCCATCTCAGGTCCAGAATCACAGTGCACCTGCCCAGAGTTAGCCAGACTGAGAGGTTTGGGACCACAGTATCCACACGAGATCACCTTCAGTTCTGACACCCAAATCCATGTTCAGGACTTTCCTGAAACCACCCTCAGGACCAGAAGGATTCCTAGAACTCACTGAGAGCCATTCTACTCACAGTTCCAGGTAATTACAGGGAGAGGATGCAGATTAACCAGCCAGGGAAACAAGCACATAAGCTAGTGTCCAGGAGTGTCCCCAACATGGAGCTTCCAGTGTCCTCTCCCCCTGGAGTTAGGACTGGATGCTCTGTCGGCGTCACGATAGGACAACATGCATAGAGTATCGCCAGCTAGGGAAGCTCACCTGAGCTTCGAGGCCCAGAGTTTCCACTGCGGCTTCAGCACATAGGCACAGTTGATTGATTGAATGACTGATCGTCCAGACATGACTGACTCATTGTCCCCATGTTAATCTCAATCCCCAGGCCAGTTGATACCCCATGACCCAAAGCACCCACCCTGAATCACCTGGTTGGTCTTCTTGGTGTAGCCAGTTCCCACCCTAAGACTGGTTGGGGATGGCCAGCTTCACCCAAAACAAAGACGTTCCTATCAGGTACAATGTAGATTACCTCTTAGAAGTTGGGGGCAAAAGACAAAAAAGAAGGAGATCTTGCCATTTGCAACAAGATGGATGCACCTAGAGAATATTAGGCTAAATGAAAAGAGAAAGAGAAAAACCATATGACTTGACTTAACTAAATAATAAAGCATATGAACAAACAAACAGAAACAAACCCATAAATCCAGAGAACAGACTAACATAGTTGCCAGAGGGGAGGGAGGCCCAGGCTTCCAGTTATGGAGTGAGTCACGGGGAAGAAAGTCACAGCATAGGGAACATAGTCCGTGGTACTGTGAGAGCATGTGTGGTGACAGGTGGCAGTGCCCCTGTGGTGCACACAGCATAACGTACAGACTTGTGGGATCGCCGTGTTGTACGCCTGACACTAACATGACATCATGTGTCCGCATACTTCAGTTAAAGAAACTGTGTTGAGGGGCTCTCGATCTTAGGGTCATGAGTTCAAGCCCAATGTGGGGGATAGAGCCTACTTTAAAAAAAAATTTTTTTTAAGTCATACGGAGAAATGACAGATGAAAGGTCTGACTTCAAGGCAAAAACAAATAAATAAAAACTCTTCTGTGCGCACAGCTGGGTTCCATAGGGCTTCAGGGAGAGCTTTTTTCCCTTTTGTCCAGATCCCTCTTCATCCTCTCCCATGTGTCACGTTGATGTGTGCGTGTTGGGGAGGAGGAAACGGCTAGGGTGGGGGGGTTTGGAAGCAAAGATGGAGGAGCAAGAAGCTTGTATGAAGTCATTTTGGGACCAAGGTGCACTTATTTTAATGCCTCTTTTTTTCTCGTATATCTCTGGCTTCTGTGGATTTTGTGTCTTTGGTAAAAGAAACCCCAAGAGGACTGATCAGTTCTTGATTCTAAAACTATGGCGCACGTAAGTATGTATTTCTCTTTCCTTCTTGAAATGTGATATTTAGGTCTTGTGGCTATTTTTGTGAATTATCCTGAAGCCTCCTGCCATATAATTACCCACTGCCTGGTTCTTCCTGTTCCGGCGAACAACAGTGCCGTATAGCCCTGTGCCCACCTGTGTGGCTAATGCCCACTTCACCACTGAGCTGGGGATTCAGGTTCTCCTCTGTGCTCACCTTGTCAAGAGTAATGCTGGAGCAGTGGGGGTGGAGAGTCCTTTGAGAGAAATACTTGAGTCACGTGTGTGGCTTATGAGTTGCAGATGGTGGTCCCATTTGACCACACGCAAAAACTAAAACTCCCTGCTGTTCTCCACGGATGTTTTTCCCAGGCAGAGAGGAGGGAATGCTCACGTTGTTTGGTCTCTGTGTCAGCTCCATGAGGCTCTTGGGATTGGATAGGGGTGTGGTTGGGGCCAGAGCACTGAGAGGCCATGATGTTACTAGGTGATCTAAGGGGTGCGTGTTGTCGAGCAGACCCTCCAGACCTCTGTGTGCAACCACATCATTTGACACCAGTATCCTAAATCAGAAGCAGAGAAAAGGCAGGGGTGGTAGGTCGTAATGGGTAAGAAGGTCACTCAGTATGTAAGTCCCAGGTGATCATACACCCCCAGAACTGGGGAAAACCTTAGATGTTTGGTTTTACCTAAGTGTACAACTGTAAGAATGAAGTCCAGTTCATCCCTATGATGGAATAAGAAAATGCTTTTGTCGTTACATAGAAGACTGCTTAAAACCTTGGCAAAATGATGACCTTGAGGCTGAGAACATTCAGACACGTAAACCCTAGTTTCAAAAATAAAAGATCTCACTTCACACAACAGAAACAAAACCCTAGGCATTTTCCTTCCCTTGAAGGATGGAAAAGGTGCCACAGGCATCCACACTTGCCAAGATGTTACCAGGTAGCGGGCTCTTGAGGAGCATTAGGAGTTCTGCTCAGTCACAGTCCCCACTGTGCCCTCTGCATGTCACAGGCCTGTGGTCTGCTGCCGTGTCCAGCCCAACCCAGAGCAGAAGAGCCCTTTTTGTGCCGTCCTTCATCTCCGGGATGTGTGGGTTTGTGTTTTCAGGGTTTGGTGACATTCTCAGATGTAGCCATCGACTTCTCTCAGGAGGAGTGGGCATGCCTGGACTCCACGCAGAGGGACCTGTACTGGGATGTGATGTTGGAGAACTACAGTAACCTGGTCTCCCTGGGTGAGTTGCCTGCCCCCTGGAATGTCAGCTCCCTCCACTGGGAATGTCAGGACTGACTTCCAAGAAATGAATTTCTTCTTCTTCTCAAGAAGTGTCTTGAGCCTTGTCACATCTAAAATGGGCGTCACGCACCTTCATCTCCTCGCCCCCTTCCCACCTTTGTCTGGCCCTTCCCGTAATCGTCTCTCCTCCTTAGTGACCAAAGGGTGGATTCAGATTCTGGGCTGTTGATTTCACACCCATCCTCAAAGAGCTGAACTTCATACTGTGATAGTATGTTCATGCCCAGACTGCTGCTGATGGCCTGTGGTTCTCTGGGGACCCCCCTTCAGGGAACTTGATTGCCTTCAGTAAACCAGCCTGCATTTGATGTGGATTGAATGGACAGCATTCACGTAAAACCAAAGCAAGCATTGTACCTGGAGTGAGGTTGAAAGTTACAATTCCTGAATTCTGAGTTACACGTTGGATGACATCTTGTCAATGTCTCCGGTTATGTCTTGTCTCTCTGTTAGAGAAATGACAGCCATAATAGTAACGGCTAATGTTGTGCTCACCCTGTACCAGGCATTGGCAGCACTGTGTGTGTGAGCAAGTACACTTCACCTTAATCCCACCAGTTTTTGAGGTAGGCACGATCGCTAAGTCTAATTTGTAGGTGAGTATACTCAGGCACGGAGTGACTTGATCCGACAGGGGAGGCCGAACCAAGAATGCACACTGTCACCTACCCTCTTGTACCTGCCTCCACGGGTAAGGCCCTCGGAAGTTTAAAATAAGACCTTTCCTATCAGGTTTCCTGCTCTTTAATCCTTTCTCTTTTCTGAAGTCTTATCATATTGACTTTCAGCTTGTCATAAATTTGACTAAGTCTCCATCAAAGGTTTTTTTTTTTTTTTTTTTAAGACTTTATTTATTCATTTGAGAGAGAGCACGACGGGGGCAGTGCAGGGAGAGGGAGAAGCAGACTCCCCGCTGAGCAGAGAGCCTGACCTGGGGCTCGATCCCAAGACCTGGAGATCACGACCTGAGCCAAGGGCAGACACTTAACTGACTGAGCCACCCAGATGCCCCTACAATGAATTTTTGAGCATATAATTTTTTTTTTAAATTCTGCACCAGGTGGCATTTCTTTTTTCGAAAGCAGGACCTTCTATTTCTAAGCCAGATGTGACTTGCTGAGGAGCAAAGGAAAGAGCCGTGATGGTGGCGAGGGAGGACAGTACAGAGGAGAGTCTGGCTGGGACAAGCCACCGCTGCAGTAAGCAGCCAGGCAAGGCGGGGGGCAGGCGTACCCCGGGGCGTGGAAAGCTCCCTAAGAAGGCCATGGACAGCTTCTGGGGAAGAAGTCACCACCGTGAACCTGATCTTTGCCCCGTTCCCTCCCACTGGTCTCCTATTTTGCTCCTGCTTCACATGCTGCTGATGCTGCTGGTCCGGGGACCACACCTTGAGTAGCAGGGGTATAGATAATGTGACCCCGTGCCCTTTGTAGCTCCTGCAAGTTCGTTGGCATCCTAGCTTCGAATGCTTTTTTCCTTTTATCTAATTTTCGCTAATACTTCTTCCTGGGTGCTGTTACGTTCTAATATCACAAGATGTTATCCGGTATGGCTCACTGACGCTCAGTGCCTAGATCCACTGCTCAGTGGGCATTCACCATGGCGATCTTCTGTCTCTCCTTTATTTGTTTGCTCTACTAATGCTTTATGGAGAAACTGTGCTCCGTTGGCTGGTTGGCCATGTAGTGACACTGTTCATCGTGGATAAAAACATTTTGAAGGGAAAAATTATTAGTTCTCATAATAAAGGGCTGGTTGGCCAGCATGCTCCAAAGCTGATCATCTAACACTTCCTAGCATCATTACGAACTCGTGAATTTAAGCATGTTGCAGGTTTTGCAGCCCGTTGGAGTTAGCGTCCTCACTGATGGTCAGATCCTCCTAAACATTCCCTCACAGGCGTTTACCGTGTTTGTTACAGTTAATCCTACACATTGTCCCTTTTATCGCCTTTGATGATGGGTCTTTTTGTCCAGAATCACTTTTCATTATATGACTGACATATATATTAATTTAAGAATATTAATTTTATACCCAGGTAATCAGCTGTATATTCTTGTTTTTCACATTTGTTCTATATTTGATTTTCCTGGGTTTCCCAGGTATGGCATCACATCATCTGCAAATTGTGCCCTTTTCCGTCTTTAGCTTTGAGATCTGCCCCCCCATTTGCTTTTTGCTTAGTTGTGTCAGGTGATGGGAAATAGTAGGGCTAAGACGCAGTTCCTTTTCCTTGTCTGACTTTAGCAGGAGTGCCCCTGGTGTTTCCTCATTAAGTATTGTGGTGCCGGAAGCAGACTGTACATTTAACAGGAGCCTAGGTGATTCGTGTTTGTTCTCCTGGAGAAGTTTTATTTCTGTTGGAGAAGTTTTTGGTTTGGGGTTAGATTCGTTTGTGTTTTCAGTTTCCTTAAAAGGAAACAAAATGTTATTTTTTTCCAGATTTAGAGTCACCATATGGGACCAAGAGTTTACCTACAGAAAAGGGCATTTATGAAATAAATTTATCCAAATGGAACTCAGATGGAAAAAGTAAATCCCTTGGCCTTGACTGGATGTGTGAAGGTGAGTTTGAAGGACCACGGGGCCCTCAAGAGGGCTGTTTCAGTCAAATGGTAATCAACTGTGAGAAAACGCCCACTTGTAGAGAAAATACCTCTGTTAGACCACATCAGAGACTTCATACTAGGGAGAATTCCTATGAATGTAAGGAATGTGGGAAGGCCTTTAGTCGTGGCTACCAGCTCACTCAGCATCAGAAAATTCACACGGGTGAGAAACCCTACGAATGTAAGGACTGTAAAAAGGCCTTTCGTTGGGGTAATCAACTCACTCAGCATCAGAAAATCCACACTGGTGAGAAACCCTATGAATGTAAGGACTGTGGGAAGGCCTTCAGGTGGGGTTCAAGCCTCGTCATTCATAAGAGAATCCATACGGGTGAGAAACCCTATGAATGTAAGGACTGCGGGAAGGCCTTTAGACGTGGTGACGAGCTCACTCAGCATCAGAGGTTTCACACTGGGGAGAAAGACTATGAATGCAAAGACTGTGGCAAGACCTTCAGCCGTGTGTATAAACTCCTGCAGCACAAGAGAATTCACAGTGGTGAGAAGCCCTATGAATGTAAGGACTGTGGGAAGGCCTTCATCTGTGGCTCGAGCCTCGTTCAGCACAAGAGAATTCATACTGGTGAGAAGCCCTATGAATGCCAGGAATGTGGGAAGGCCTTTACTCGAGTCAATTATCTCACTCAGCATCAGAAAATCCACACTGGTGAGAAACCTCACGAGTGTAAGGAGTGTGGGAAGGCCTTTCGCTGGGGTTCAAGCCTTGTTAAACATGAGAGAATTCATACCGGTGAGAAGCCGTATAAGTGCACAGAATGTGGGAAGGCCTTTAATTGTGGCTACCACCTCACCCAGCATGAGAGAATCCACACTGGTGAAACGCCTTACAAATGCAAGGAGTGTGGGAAGGCCTTCATCTATGGGTCAAGCCTTGTTAAACACGAGAGGATTCATACAGGGGAGAAACCGTATGAATGTAAAGAGTGTGGGAAGGCCTTTAGTCATGGCCATCAACTTACACAGCACCAGAAAATTCACACTGGCGAGAAATCCTTTGAGTGTAAGGAATGTGGGAAGGCATGTAACCACGTGAACCACCAGAGAGTTCACACTGCCGGAAAACCTATTGAACAAAAAGAAGGTGCAGAAGCTTCTATACAACATTCATTCCTTCCACAGCACAAGGAAAATCCATGATACAGTTTAACATAAGAAAGCCTTCACTGGTCACTCTCCTGCTTATAAGCATCTCAGAATAGTCATGCTCCAGACAAATTTGGAGAATGGAGAAATCACTTTATCTTAGTGATCACAACACACTCAATGTAGACTTGTTTTTTCGTTTTGCCGAATTGGTTTAATGAGTGGATAGAAGCCTCCCGCTACCATTTGAGCTCCGTCTCACCTCAGATTTGTTCTAGGGAATAACTGGTGTAACATATGTGGGAAATCCTCTCGCCGTGGTACACACCCTCCCTGTTAACCATCACCATCCCACCTCTTTCCTCCTGTGACACACTGGGGAAATGACCTGTTACCCCTGTGTGTTGTGTGTGAAATGGGGATAATCACACCTATCTAATACTGCTATTGTGGTGACTGAGTTTGGTACATGTAAACTCTCTGGAGGTGTATCTGGAACGTTGTGTAAGCTCAATAAATATTAGCTGCTGTTGTTCTTACCATCCTTACCGTTAGTGCTGCTCTTAGTGAATTCCTACAGGAGTACTCCCTGTGGGTACAAAGAATTAGAAAAGACGGTCAGGCTCGTAGAAGAAAATACAGGAGATTATGGTCACAGCCCCGGGTGGACGGTGTTTCTTAGTACACAGAAGACGCTAAACATAAAATAGAAGGTTTATATGTTGGACTCTGTCGAAAGTACAAAGTTCTGTTCATCAAGTGACACCATGAAGACTGAAAAAAAGCAAGAGGCACACTGGGAGAAGTAATACTTACTCTCCACGCACCAGGTAAAGGACTCACGTAGAAAACAGAATCCCCCAAATCAGTAATAAGTCCGTTTTAAAGGGGTGAGGGGACTTAAATAAGCACTTACAAGAGAAGACGGCCAAATGGTCAGTGAGCAAGTAGGAAACGCAAAGTAAAACCACCATGCGGTTTCGCTAGACAATCACTAGAATAGCTAACATTAAAATCACGTATGAGCCTTGTACTTTGTTGGGTGGTCACATGCGACCCGTTCAGGAAGGAATGGGGCCAGCACACGGGACCTCGGCCAGATCCTGGAGGTCCTGCAGCAAGGGCAAAGAGGTGATGCTTGAGGAGGGCGAGTGACTGTGTCCTGGGGGAGGGGCCGGAGCCCGGGATCCAGTCCTGGAAGGGTTGAGGCAGCAGTTAGACTTAGGAGGGGCCCAAGCCATCTCAAGTGGTCAGTCCTGGAGGGAAGTGAGTGGGTCCTTTTGTGGAAAGGACCGGAGCTCACAAGAGTGAGCGGAGAAGCTGGGGGAGGAATGGCTAGTGCTCAGACAGGTCCTGGGAGACTGAAGAAAAGGAGAGTCCAGGGAGCCTTCAAGAGCTGGAAGACTTGAAGGCTCATGAGTGTGGCCTGGGAGACTGAAGAGAGCCTTGGCACTGGGCTGGAAGTGCAGTTAGAGCACAGAGGAGCGTCCTGCAAAGGCCCACGGGAGCCAGAGTCGGGGCTCAAAGTAGGGCTTCCGTGTGGTTTGCCTCAAGAGTTGGGGTGCCAGTATCCACAGACTACAGGTGTGGGTGGGTGCTGTCCTCAATAAATGAGGAGGGGGAGGGGCGAGGGCAAGGGGAGGGGTATGATGGGGGAGGGCCGTGAGGGGGCAGAACTGGAAGGGTAGTTGGGGGGGCCATAAAGAGGAACACGAGTCACAGTGGAGAAAACACTGACGAACTGGAAGCCCCAGGGGGAGAGGCAGTACTCTGCAGGCCTCGGGTGAGCACTGCCTGGATGCACAGGGGCAATCCACAGGAGGAAATGGGAAGAGCGTCTATCTGTCAAGACTCCTGGTTCAAGGAGCGAAAACCTAATTCAAAGTAGCCGAAGGGAGTAGGGTGGGGAGAATAAAAATTGACTTGTGCAGAGGAATCACTCCGTTTTAGCCGCAGGTGGACCCTGGCTCACGTAAAACGTCAAGATCTGCCTTGAGTTTGGCCTCTGCTTTCTTAGGGTAGCTTTTATGCTGAGGCTGCACACGGTGGTCCTGACCACACTAGGTTCTGTCATACCTAGGACTTGCAGTACCGGCTAGAAGAAATCTCCCAAACACTTCCACAGCTTTTGCAGAATGGAGTCTTGCTGACTGGCTGGTTCATGAGTCTATCCTGAAAACTCTGCCCATGGCAGGGTGGATTGGAAACATCTCAGGTGCCAGCTAAGCCTTATAACCATGCTGGAGCTCGCCTAAGGCTCACAGACGGGGGGTGGGGCTGGGGGATTTTAACATCAGGGGCTCTCGTGAACAGTGACCGGATACCGGGCAGGCAGAGTCAGCAGCTGTCCACACCAGGCCAGGAGAACATTCCTGCAACCGGATGAAGGCATGGATTCCGGAGAGGCCAACCGCCCCCCTGCTGGTCTGTGTAGGAGTGGGTGGGGTGGGTGGAGGCAGCATCTCAGCTCTTCTATCCCTCATCAATTTTAAAATTACCCTTACAAAGAGCAGTACAACACTGGATCTGGGGATGGAGGGAGGTCCATAAATCCAAGAGTTGAGGTCAAGAGTGGCATGCTGCAACCTGGGCCTGGCCTCCTTTTCTCTTTACTAGCACTCCAGAGTTTGTCATAAAATTGCCTGCAACTTCCAATTTACACAGAACGGTTCATGTTCTCCACTAGTCCATCAAGAGGTTAGAAGCATATGCTGTCTGAATGTCCTCTGTAATTTCTAACACCATACTTTATACTTTCTAAGTGTCATCTGAAAGTGGGCCTCCTTTCTTGGCCTCCAGCACACTGTATTACTTTGTTAGCATCCTGCATGCAGTTCAGATTCTTCTAGTGCTTGCACAGCTTGCCTGAAAATTGCCAAAGTTCCCAGTATCGTGCCATTCAACCAGGGTTTCCATTTTTTGCCTGGTAGCCAGTCCCATCCCAGCATTTCATCCTCTACATCTGACCTCCATTCCCTTTACGACAAAGGCCTCCTTTGTTCCACCATTACAACATTAAAAACCTTCAAACTCTGCTTTCTTTGGACTGTTTTCTTAATCTCGTTTTGAAGACTGTAATCTCCCAGTGGTTGTCACTCTGGCATCAGAGTTCTGACAAGTTTTTTCTTGCTGCCCATCAACGTGTCAGTACATAATCCTTGCTTCAGGCTCAGTTTTTGAGAGAATAAGGTTTAAAGCATCTTCATGCAGCTCTGTTAAATCACTATTCGTTTGCTTCTGGTGCATATCCAGAACTGAAGTTTCTTCTGGTTCACTGGTTTATTGTCTGTGCTATCTGTTTGAGTGAGTTCTTGAATCCTGTGACCCTTTTTGGCTTGTTCACCTCTGACTCCTAACCCCTTTGAACAGCAAGCACCATGTACATTGTAGGCAGTCAAGAGATGTCTGTTGAACAAATGAGTTTTATTGAGCCTCAGTGATGCATTAATTGATGATTCCCTTCTCAAATATATGAGCATGAGACATTATCATTAAGGATATGTCTAAAAGTTGTTGCAAGTCTTCATGAGATCTCATGGCAGGGAGGGATGATAAGGTGCTGAAAGGAAAGGTTTCCAATCAAGAATTCTTTATCTGTCAAAACCGTCCTTCAAAAACGAGAGAAATTAAGACAAAAGGTAAAGGAGTGGCTCGCTAACAGATCTGCCCTACAAGAAATGCCGAAGGGAGTCCTTCAGGGTGAAATGAAAGGACCTTCAACCATAACTTGAAGACATACAAAGAAATAGTCACTACACAGGTAAGTATAAAAGCCAGTGTGTGATAGGCCTTTTGTTTATCATCCCTCTTATTTCCTACATGATTTAAAGGATAAATGCGTAAGAAATGACCAGCCCGTGTTAATGGGCACAAACTATACAAAGCTGTAACTGACCACGATAAGCAGGAATTGGGTAAGAGCTGGGTGGGAGCACAGTGTCTCTGTTACTGATTCGAGGTTGGGATCAGTTCAAATAGATTGTTATAAATTTAGGATGTCAGTTATCCCCATGGTAATTATTAAGAAAATAGCTTCATAAACCTGAATTCCTTCCTTGTCCTTTAGATAGCTAGAGTGGCTACATTAATCAGACAAAACAGGCTGAAGCCTTGAAAGTCTAAAACTTTTACAGGAAACAAGGACATCATATATTAATAAAATTCATATACCAAGTATATACACACCAAAGGAACCTCAAAATACATGAACATTGACAAATGAAAAGAGAAATAATTCTGCAGTCATAGTTAAAGATTTCAGTACCCCCACTTTAAATCATGGTTAGAACATCTGGACGAGAGATTGATTTGAAAAAATAGAGAAGACCCACACCTGGGTGTCTCAGTCGGTTAAGCATCTGACTATTGGTTTTGGCTCAGGTCATGATCTCAAGAGTTGTGGGATTGAGCCCAACATCAGGCTCCACACTGAGCAGGGAGTCTGCTTAAGGATTCTCTCTCCCTCTGCCACACACTTATAAATCAATCTATTTAAAAATAACGAAAAAATAAAAGAGTACACTACAGCCCCAAGTAGACCTAACAGACACACCACTACCAGCAACAGAGCACACAGAGAACATTCTCCAGGATAGACCATATGTTAGGCTGCAAAGCAAGTCTCAACAAACTGAAAAGCACTGGAATCCTAGCATCTACTCCACCCACTATGGAATCAAACTAGAAATCAACAGAAGGAGAGGAAAATCGAATGGAAATTAAACCACACGCTACGACAAACAGGTCAAAGAAGAGCTCACAAGGAAACTAGAAAACAGGAGCGAAAATTACGTGTGGGATGCCATGAAAGCAGTGCTCAGAAGGACACTTAGAACAGTAAACACCTACATTTGAAAAGATAAGAAACCAGGAAAAGCTAACAGAAGGAAGAAAATTATAGGGACTGGAGTAGAGAAAAAATGAAATGGAGAATAGAAAAATGGTACAAAGGGGCACCTGGGTGGCTCAGTTGGTTGAGCATCCAACTTGATCTCAGCTCAGGTCTTGATCTCAGGGTCGTGAATTTAGGCCCTGTGTTGGGCTCCATCCTGGGCATGGAGCCTACTTTAAAAAAATAAGGTACAAAGAATTAATGGAACCAAAAGTTGGTTCTTTGGAAAAAATCACCAAAATTGACAAGCCTTTGGCTAGGTTGACTAAGAGAAGAAAGTAATAATTATACAAAGAAAAGCGAGAAGTCACTAGCGATCCTTCTGGTCTCTTGTAGGCATAGGTGGCTAAAGTGAAGCTCCTCAAAACATGAGGTGAATCTGAACGCATCAACACAGCAGATGCACAGAATAAACCTGAGCACATTCCGTTCCACCAAACCCAGGGCTTTGCCTACCAAGAACCAAATAGTAAATATTTTAGGTTTTGCAGGCCACATATGCTCTGAGCCACATATTCCTTTTTTTTTTTTACAAGCTTTTAAAAACAATAACCACTCTTAGCCTCTAGACCATACAAAAATAGGGCCACAAGCAATATTTAGGCCATGGACTATAGTTTACCTGAGTGCTGCACTACACCAACGTGTGAGCATGGGAGAAGATTCTAGAGCATCATCCAGCATGGTAGCCAGTAGCTACATACCATTATCGGGCTCTTGAAATGTGGCTAGGTGGTAAATTAAGTGTCAAAATATATACTGGAATTTGCAGACTGTCCAGAAATAAAAAAGCAAAATACTTCATTAATTTTTACATTTGGGGCACCTGGGTGGCTCAGGTCATGATCCCAGGGTCCTGGGATCAAGCCCCGTGTCAGGTTCCTTGCTCAGTGGGAACCCTGCTTCTCCCTCCCTCTGCCTGTCCTCCCCCCTTGTTGTCTCTCTTTCAAATAATCTTTAAAAAATATAATTTTTACATTTATTACATGTTGAAATAACATTTTGGATATATTGAGCTAAATAAAATCTATTACTAAAATTAATTTCACCTGTTTTTTCTTTTTCTTTTTTTTTTACGTGATACTAGAACATTTTAAATTACCTATGTGGCTCTCTTTATATGTTTGGACAGCACTATGCTGCTGCAATTTGGCAATATTTGCCAGAACTTTTAAGTGTATATGCTTTGACTCAGCATTTCCACTTAGAAGAATGTATTTTTATAGCATTACCCATAGCAACTTTCCCAGAGAACCTCCTCTTATTCTCAGGGTCTCCTTGGTGAAAATTACATTGATCCTTGACTTCCCCTAGAGAATTGTGGGAGGGGGCATTGCAGCATTGGTATGAGGCAAACTCACGGACAGGTCCATCAAACATTTCCATGTCTGGTTATACCTGGTTACTTGGAAGGACAACCTACGCACTGTCTTTTGCTAGACAGATTTCACATCCTTTCAGCTACTATATAATGAGTAAACTAGCCAAATGTGAATTTCAAATAAACAAAATTAGAGCATTTAAATACACTGGCAAATCTCTAGCAAGGTTTAGTAACCTACCCAACAGTCCTACAGCTAAAATGGAGCCAAAACAGAGCTGGACACCAAAGCCTGTGTTTCTAACCACTGCTCTCATCAGTGCCCAACCCAGTGCTAGGTCTTAAGAAGCCCTTAAGGGACTCCTATACTTTTCTTTACAACTTCTACGTCAGAAGAGCAGAACTGGATTGTAGATGAGAGGGTTGGGAACTCACAGCCTGAGTGGTATATCGGCTCAAGAAGTATGTTTTAGGGGGGGCGGAGCAAGATGGCAGAGGAGTAGGAGACCTGGATTTCGTCTGGTCTCAGGAATTCAGCTGAATAGGGATCAAACCATTCTGAACACCTACGAACTCAACAGGAGATCAAAGATGAGAATAGTAACAAGACTCTGAACAGAAAAGCGACCACTTTCTAGAAGGTAGGGCCTTTGGGAAGTGATCAGGTCATGAAAGTGGAATCCGCCTGAATGGGATTAGCACCTTATACAAAACATCCAAGAATTCTCTTGCTCCTTCCATCATGTGAGGACACAGCTGTAACCTCTATGAACCAAGAAGCAAGACCTCATCAGACATCGAATCTGCCAGTGGCATGCTCTTGAACTTACTGGCCTCCAGAACTCAGAGAAATGAATGGTTGTTTCCAAGTCACCCAGTCTGTTTAAAGGGAGCAGGGGTGCTGCTGGTATCTACAGACTAGAGACCAGAGACGCTACTAAACACAGGACAAGGCACAGAAGAGCCCCCAACCAGAAAGAATTACCCAGAGTAAAATGTCCATCATGTCACTCGTAAGAAATGCTGTTCTGTACTTGCTTTTCATTTGTGTATCCTCACTTATTTTTAAGCTATTAAAAAAAAAGTATGTTTTATTTGGCTAAAAGCTTTTTTTTTTTTAAGATTTATTTATTTATTTGAGAGAAAGCATATGTGTGCGTGATCGAGTTGGGTGAAGGGCAGAGGGAGAAGATCCCGGGACTCCGGGATCATGACCTGAACTGAAGGCAGACGCCTAACTGACTGAGCCACCCAGGTGTCCCTAAAAAGCTTTTTAAACAATTTTTTAGTCAAGAAAAATTTACGTGTTTTTTTTTTTTTTAAGATTTTATTTGACAGAGATAGCGAGAGCAGGAACACAAGCAGGGGGAGTGGAGGAGGGAGAAGCAGGCTTCCCACCGAGCTGGGAGCCCAATGCGGGGCTCAATCCCAGGACCCTGGGACTATGACCTGAGCCGAAGGCAGACACTTAACGACTGAGCCACCCAGGAGCCCCAAGAAAAATACTTTGATAGACTTGTCGAATCAATACATTGTACACCTGAAACTAATGTCACATTGTCAACTACAATCTAAACACACACACACTTTGACAAGTCTGGGCTTGGACCGAAAGGTCTGCAGGCAGGACCTCAGTGGGAGACCAAAAGCATGAGCAGAGGAGGGCCTCATGCTTCTAGCCTTGCTGGTAAACAAGAGACACTGCTGTAGATGGGGAGGGAGATCGAGGGAGTCTGCAATTTGGGATCTTTTCAGGACATACAGGGGAGGCTTCACTGAGAATGTGGCTTTTGAGTAAATGCGAGATAGATGCCAGTGTCCCAAGAAAAGGTTTCAGAGAATGTTTGTAGAAAACAAAAATGCAGATACAGTGTTAAACTTTGATAGAGATGAATCACAGCCACATGCTCAGCACACATCTCATCACTAGTTCTCCCCACAGTGATCTTGAGCATGTTTTTAACCTACAGGTCAAGGGCATTACCCACAGCTCCCGTGTAAGACCCTTCCGTTGCTCTGCACCACACTGGCACCAGAATCCACATTACTCATCCCTGCAGCCATGTCTTTAAAACTCACATTCAATAACAATTACAGTAACACTATGACGTAGGTATCATTCTTCCGATTTGCCATGAGGACACAGAGATGCAGTTAAGGTTAATTAACTTGCCCAAGGTCACACCAATACTGCGCAGTGACTCTGGGCTCAACCCCAGCCAGTCTGCCTCGAGATCACATCCTTAGTCATTGTGCTCAGTGACCACAGTGAGGGCACCATGTGCCAGACGCCATGTGGGGGGCTTTGTGTGGACTGACTAAATCCTGAGGCAGCCCTAGGTTGTAGACACTCTCTGTCCCCTCGTTCTGGTGGGGATGCCGAGGCACGGGCAGGGCCAATAGGACGCCATGAAGGGAGAGCTGCATATATCTCTGAACATTGCACCATCGGTCAAATCCCCTACGTGAAGGAAACGTACCTTGAAGTGATGATCGTGGCTCTCATGTTCAGCACTGCATTCCCAGCACCGTCGTGAGCAGTTAACACTTGCAAAAGGGAAACTGCCATCATCAATGTCCGCTCCTTACGGCTGCATTTGTCAGCCAGCTGCCCTCCACGTTCCTTTCCACGGCACCTATGAAGTCCTCCACCCACCGCACCCTGGCTGTCACCTGCAGAACTGCACAGAACCACAAGAGCCCTTTCAAGAACCCTGTGCGTAAGCACGGTGTTCATGTCTAAGAAGCTTGTCACCGCTACTCTCAACACAAGATGCTGTTGACCTCCAGCAACCACTGTTACATGTCTTAGAAATTTACAATACTCAGCTCTTTAATATCGTCTAATTCAAATTTGCACAACCATTTCTTAGTCTTTATCAAACAGTAAACTTGTTCTAAATCAGATCGACAGTGCTTTCCCACCCCCTCCCCTGCCACCCCCATGGCTGAGGTCTTATAAAGCACACCCAAAATCTGACACACATTTTAAAAACAGCCCCAATACCTTTATCAGACCCTACAAAATTGGGTGATAGAATATGACTCCTGCCTGGCAAAAGACAAGGTAGACGGATCCTCCAAATGTCAGCATCTGGCTCTCCTGTCTCATACTCATTATGAAACAATCAACTCTCCGGTTTGAGTCCTATCATTTCTTTTTTCCTGGAGAATTGTCCACGTTCTGGTTTTGGCTGATTGCGTTTTCAGTAGCCATGTGACCCTATTCCTTAGGTCCTCTATTAGCTGATGGTTGCTAGAGGCTTGATTATGTTCTGATTCATTTTGTCACCAACCCTTCATGGGTAGCACTCTGTTGCCTCTTGCAGCCCGCTGGGATGCCCGTGTATCTGGTTGTCCCACGTTAGTGGTAACAATGATAATCAACCTTTTTCCATCAGACTTTCACCTCAATTTGTCTCCATTAACTAACACCGCCTAGCCCTGTCGTTTCGCTAGGACTGGCAAAACGGCAATATTTCTAACGCTGTTAATCCTCCTCCATCTATGTTTTTAAATTCACTGAATAACTTTGGTGCTCAGTTTCTTGACCTCTACCCCTGCAGTCGTCACTCTCCTGGAGTTGTTCACCCCACAGACAATCCTGTCCTTGGCTATTACCGACACCTTCAGCATCTAGAATCTCAGTTTCAAGCATTGTGTTCTGCTGTCTTGTCTTTCAGTTCCACCCAATGGCACCCACTGATCAACCACCATTACTTCCCACACCGCCCCCACTCTGGCAATGCTGTTTTCTTCAACTCACAACTTTTCCTCATCATCCCTACTGTGTAGGGTTGCTTACTCCCTGGTGTAAGCCATCCCACCTTCACATTCCATAGAGGCTCAAAGTCTCCCTTGAACCAGAAGATACCTCCAGTGTATGGAGGGATTCCACAGAGCATCTATTTCCTGTGGTTAAGCTAATTCAGCACTCGGGATGTTTTTGTCAAGAGTGTGGGAGCTGGAGACTGGTGGCTGTTGATCATTGTCCTTTTCCAAGCTATGTCGGATCCCATATCGAAAGTATATGGCAAATCCTAGTAGAGAAATGAGACAAACTGATGGAAAAGTAGGTACGCCCCCCACTTAGAAGTACACAACAGGCCTTCTTCTAAGAGTACCACGGAAACATAAAGAAAGATGATCACTTACACAAGGTTATAAATCAATCATATCTCAATAAAGCTGGCGGGAAAATAAAAATGACCAGTTCTCTTGGACATTTTGAAATGATCCACTTCATCTGATATTACGCTCTTTCTTAGAGTCTCCTTTGTCTAATACTAACATAGCTATGCCAGCTTCCCGTGACCACTTGCAAGATGTGTCTTCCCTTCCTTTTACTTCCAATCTGTTTGGGTCCTAATATTTAAAGTACAATTCTTCAGGGGCGCCCGGCTGCCTCAGTCGGTAGATCACATGAGTCTTGATCTCGGGGCGGTGGGGAGGTGAGTTTGAGCCCCGCGTTGGGGATAGAGATTATTTTTTAATTAAATTTAAAAAATAAAAAATAAAGTACAATTCTTGACACAACATAGAGGTGAAACCTGCATTTTCTTCCCATGTGGCAATCTGTGTTTTTGCTGGAAATAGGCACAAGAAGGCAACTATTATGTGCAGGTAATATTTTATTCCTTCTTCTGGTTGCTGGTTACATTGCTGGTACCTTGTGAAAATGCATCTTGCTGCATATTTATGAAGTATGCAATTTTATGTATATTATGCTTTTTAAAGTTTACTTAAAAATTAAACAAGATTAAAGGCATTTTTGTCCAATGGCAATAAACACAGTGCTCTAAATGCATCCCACCTTCACATTCCATAGAGGCTCAAAGTCTCCCTTGAACCAGAAGATACCTCCAGTGTATGGAGTGATTCCACAGAGCATCTATTTCCTGTGGTTAAGCTAATTCAGCACTCGGGATGCTTTTGTCAAGAGTTTGGGAGCTGGAGACTGGTGGCTGTTGATCACTGTCCTTCTCCAAACTGTGTCGGATCCCATATCCAAAGTATATGGCAAATCCTAGTAGAGAAATGAAACAAAGTGATGGAAAAGTAGGTACTCCCCGCACTTAGAAGTACCCAACAGGACTTCAACTATGGCCTCTGAGACAGTTTTGCAGAAAGGTAGTAGGAAGAGGGTTGAGTTGCAGCCCTTGAGAAGCCTCTTTTCCCCAGAAAGCCACTTACCAATCACCATCCAGATGCCAAATCGGGCCCAGGTCCCAGCAGTCATCTGCATCATCAAGTAAACATTCACAAAGATGCTCAGCAGTGGGAGCACAGGCAAAGCGGGGACCTGTGGGCAAAGTCAGTTAATCGCTGGACACAGCACGGATGTCTGCAAGGGAGATCCCCACCCCACCTGGGTGGGAAGGAAGACTCCACTCCTACGCTGCACCTTCAGTGCCTGCTCATAGCCCACTGAGTGTTCCCGAAGGAGTGGGAGTTGGCAAATGGAGGTAACCAAATACTGAGTGCGGGTCAGATCAGGAAATAGTTCATTGTTTTAGCAACTGACCCATTGTCTTCCCAGCCAAGAGTGGTAGACTTCAAAGCATACAGAGTTCATTCACTCAAGGTGGAGAGTCTGGGGGACATAAGGTCACCTACCTTGAAGTGAAGGGGAGTGGGGTTCTGGGGCTGTCTCCAGATGATGAAAGTGAGCCCAATAATGAGCATCAGGAGCAACACGGCCCCTGTGGTATACACCGGGTCTGCAGAGAGCAGATGGCTGGGCCACTGGACCAGTATCAGGCACAGGATCGTCAGCAGGAGAGCTACAAGGGTCAAGTTGCAGGAGAACAGGTCCAACTCTAGAAGCCAAATATGTCAAGACCTTGGTTCACACCCCACCCCAAAACTGCCCTCGTCAAGAAGGGTCACCATCTCTCTGAGCCTCCTCCTCAGCTGCCAAAGACACACACTCCCACCCCATCCCGCCACAGACCGAAACCCCACTGCTCACCAAGCAGTAAGGTACATGTACAGACAATGCGGCTAGATTTCAGAGTCGGGGTGGTGTTGACCCGGTTATGCAGACTCGGCAGATCCTGTGCGGTTCCTGCTTCAGGTACAGATTGTGAAGAACCTGCTTGAGGTGCAGACTTTATCTCACTTATTTCCACCTCTGTTTTCTCGTTCTTGCTTAAATTCTCGTCTGGCTGGTACCTGAATGAGAGGTATTTAGGCAATATGAACACCAGCCCCTACTCATCCAACATCAGATAGCCCGATCCACCTTTTCCCGCTCTGAGTGCCATAGGACACTTAGGAGGCAGCGTGGAGCAGAGGAGGATTAGCTCCTCATCAATCCCCATGAGTCCAAGAAGCCCCAGTCAAGATTCAGTGGAGTCTCACCTGAGAACAAGAACGGAAAAGACCACCAGGGAGTAAGCAAGCAGGGTCCCAATTGACATGAGGTCCACAAGATCACTGAGCTCGAAGAGGCATGCCATGAATGCTAGAATGAGGCACAAACGAGGTGGGGGAGGGGGATGAGGAACCCCTGGAAATATCCAAGGTAAGGAAACTGATGGAAGGAATGGGTTTTGTTTCCTTACCTGCAAAAGTTCCAGACACTATGGTGGCCATGATAGGGGTGTGTGTGCGGGGATGAATCCAGGCGAGTCCCCGGAAAAGGAGCCCATCATCTGCCATTGCGTAGATCACTCGAGGCATGGGGAACATGGTACCCAGGAGGCTGGAGGAGAAAACGGGAAAGTACGTGAGCTCGTGGAGGAGCACGACAGACCCCAGCCGGCGTGGGGTCAGGTGTCTCTCCCTCTCATCTCTCAAGCCCAAGGGCTGGGATACCTGAGAATCTCCCAGACACAGAGAAGGCAGACACCGACCTGGATGAAAGAGCACAGAGGGTTCCAGTAGCCACGGTGTATCTGGCAGGGGCCCATCCCACATGGAGAAATGCCTGTGGCAAGGGGCTCCTGGGATGGACCTGGTAGTAGGGCATCATGAGGGTAAGTGCAGCCGAGACACCAAGATACGCCAAAAAGCAGATGAAGAGTGAGATTATGATGCTTAAGGGGATGGAACGCTGAGGATTATGGGCTTCTTCCCCTGCGGGATGGGTGGATAGACTGGGTCAGGAAAACCCTGGGGTGAGGGCACAAAATCCTCTTTCCTCTTCCACCTTCAGAAGCAGACTACCCTCCTACCAACCCTCTGCCCAAGGGCAGCCCAGCTGTGCCCAAACCCCTGATGGGGCAGAATGACCTCGTTACCTGTAGTGGCAATGCAATCAAAACCAATGAATGCGTAGAAACACGTCGCTGCTCCATGGAGTATCCCCTCAAAGCCAAAAGGCATAAACCCTCCAGAACCCAGAGGGCCCAAGCTGTGGTGAGAAGGAACAAGGAAGGACACGGGGGCGAGTGTTCAGCCATCTCTACTGACGGTTCAGTCAATACCCTAAGTCCTGGGCTCCGTTCCCCTCGCTCAGCATCTGGATCCACCAGCCCACCATATTCCTCTTTATTCCCCACCGCATTCCCAGTTGTACTCCCCACACTCTCTACTGTGACCAAGAGTGCCCGCCTAACCTAGAAGAGTCATTGGATGCAGACATGGCCAGTTTGTAGTCCTGTTCAGTGAGCTGCCAATGGTGCAGATCTCCCTTCATGAAGCCAGAGAGGATGACGAAGCTAAGAACCAAAAGGTTCACGCCCGTGAACACCTTGGTAACCAGGGCCGACTCGCTAGCTCCCAGGACCAGGAGTCCTGTGGGAAAGATGGAATATGAAATATGCAAAATCACTAAACCCCTACAGACAGCAGACCGGTGGTCGCCAGGGGCTGGGGGGACAGGGGATGGGCAGTGCCTGCTTAGTAGGTACGAGGGTTCCTTCTTGGGGTTACTGGTCCTTTTGGGGTTTGGAACGACATGCCCTCTAAGATGGTTAATTTCTTATTGTGGTAATCAGCCTGTGATATACACGTGCACCAAAGCATCATGTTGTACACCTTGAACTTGCACTGTATGTCAATTAAATCTCAGTAAAGCTGGGAACAATAAAATGAAGTGGCTAATTGGATGTTATGTGAATTTCACCTCAATTGAAAAAACCTTTGGTCTCAGTACAAAGGAAGAAATGTGTCTAAGTGAATGATTCTCAGCTGGGGGTGACTTTGTTACCCAAGGGCCATCTGGCAATGTCTCGAGACATTCTGACTGTCATACTTTGGGGGGTGGGTGCCATCGGCATCTAGTGAGTAGAGGCCAGGGACACTACTCAACATCCAACAATGATTAAAACACACACACACGTACACACACACCCGTAATGCACAGGACATCCCTCCACACCAAAGACACTGATCCAGCCCAAAACGTCAGTGACGCCCAGGGACAGAAGGGGTGGTCTAAGACTTGCCTTCCCGTTTCTCAGCACGGACCCTCCCTTCCAGGGCTGTCCACCATTCTTTGCACGGCTCCCCCTCCACACCCTGCTCTTCCCATCCTAGACGATGCTGGCCTCACCAGTGAGGAGCAACACCAGGCCCAGCGCGAAGAAGTCCAGGTGTGTGGCCAGCACGTGGGGGACGTGCAGTGAAAAACCTCCCTTCAGGAGCCGAGAGACCTGGTTCCCAATCAAGTCGTCGAAGGCGGAGCTCCAGGCCCTGGCCACGCTGGCGGCACCTGCGGGCGTAGGACGAGGTATGTTCACTGACAAACGTAAACTGAACTCCTACTATGCGCCATGGGATATCTTTGAGGGGGGCGCAGGAAGAAACCAGACAAAATACCTAATCTCTAAGAGTTTCCTTTCATGGGGTGGGGAGAGCAGACACAGATGATTCATAAAATAGGTCAACTATTTAATATGGTTAGAAAGAGATCGAGGTTATGCCAGGCAAGAAAACAGGGAAGCTGGGAGTGGGGAGGATGAGCCTTCCCAAACTTGTCTCCCTCCCTCCCACCGGAGCTCCGCCTCCCCCCATCCTACGGTCCCCATTCCTTCCTGGCTCCCGGTCCTATCATTCTACGAAAGCTGGACAGAGTTGAGTAGAATGAAGTTTTGGGGTTTTCCTGCGCTATGACCCACCTCCCCCCGACAAGGCGGATAACAAAGTGCTCACGACGGAGTGAAGCCTCTTTTCCCGACCTTGAGTCCCTTGCTCCCCCCACTTTCCCCCCCGCCACCTCACCGATGACATAGGAGAGTATGAGGTTCCAGCCAGTGACGAAAGCACACAATTGTCCCACTGTGACATAGCTGTAGAGATACGCAGAGCCAGAGCCCGGCACGCGGGCCCCAAACTCCGCATAGCAGAGCCCGGACAGCACAGAAGACAGGGCGGCCACCAGGAAGCAGACGGTGATGGCGGGCCCGGCTTTGTCCCTGGCCACTTCACCCGCCAGGACGTACACACCCGCTCCCAGGGTGCTGCCCACGCCCAAGGCCACCAGATCGAGAGTGCTCAGGCACCGGGCCAAGCGACTCTCAGCCCCCTCCCTCGGCCCCAGGGGCCGCCTGCGCACCAGCTTCTGGCCAAACCAGCAAACATGCTGACACAGCATCCTCGGTGGAGTTGAGCACTGGAGGTGGAGGCCAAGATCTGCGGAGAAAAGAGAACGCCGTCTAGAACGTCCATCCGCCATGGCCCTGGGAGTCGTCGGGCAGAAGATCAATCCCGCAGAGAAGTGGTAACAGGACATCCTGGGCCAGTCACCCATCTCTGCGCCTCCGTTTCCTGTTTCCTCAAATATAAGAAGACTTTTAATATGTTTCAAAGTTACCGGGAGGGTTACTTGAAAAGAAGCAAGCAAAAGCTTGCAGGACGGTAAAGCTCATCCCCATGAGCTGAGGGCACAAGAGCCCTGACCTCCGAAGCCAGACCATCCAGGTTCTCACATCAGCCGTCTGATCTCGCACGAGCTACCTGCCACTCTCAGCCCTCCCCTCCGTAAAACAGGGAAAAATCATCATGATTGTCCTTCCTCCCTCCCTCGTTACGTGTGAAGCGACGCTTGGCAGGGCTTGGTGATCAGAGAGGCTCACACTCCACACATTTCTACACCAAGGATCCTGCAACCTGTCTGCTTTGCCTCCTTCGCCTGCAGAACAACACGGAATTGGAATTTTGAGCTGGGGCAGAATGAGACGGAATTTGCAGGGAGGGAGAGACCAGCCTGGCTCAGGCAGAGCAGGAAACCTGAGGGACCTCCCAGTTGCCTGGAGGGAGGGAGGACTGACCTCTCCAAGGCAGAAGAGACAGGCCTGCTGCTTGCTCCTCTGGGGCAACGGAAGGTCTCCTCACTGCTCTGCTCTGCAGGGCAAGGCTGAGCCAGTCAATGCCCAGTATCATCAAGGGCTTCTGTCGATGATAATCCAAAGTACAAGTTTAGCGTGCTGGTGAAGAGCAAGAACTCAAGAGCCAAGAACCAGATTAGAAGAATCTTGGCACCACGTGGCCACCTCCCTCTTCCTTCCCTAATGCTGCAGATGAACCCGCGTGCACCGTTACTGGGAACGTGAGAGGGTCCAGCTGCAGTGGGTAAGGTGTGGCTCTTCGAACAATTAAAAACGGAACTACCGTATGATCCAGCATTTCCACTTGGGTATATGTATCCAAACGAAAGTAGAATTGTGATTGCCCCAGGTTAGAGGGAGCGGGGGTAGGCGCTGTTTAATGGGTACAGAGTTTAATTTTACAAGATGAAAAGAGTCCTGGAGATTGGTTGCCCAATGTACATTTAAAAAATGGCTTAAGGTGGTAAATTTTATGTGTATTTTACCACCATTTTTTTTTTTAATGCTGCTCATAGGGTGCCTGGGTGGCTCAGTCAGTGAAGCGTCTGCCTTCGGCTCAGGTCATGATCTCAGGGTCCTGGGATCGAGTCCCGCATCGGGCTCCCTGCTCAGCCTCAGCGGGGAGTCTGCTTCTCCCTCTCCCTCTGCCTCTCCACCAGCTTGTGCTCTCTCAAACAAACAAATAAAATCTACAAATAAATAAACAAATGAAATAAAGTGCTGCCAATGGTAATAATGCAGGCAGCCTCACCACATTTCTGTGTGTTCCAAACGAATGATCAAATGTGAGGCTAAAATCCAAACCCCTATAGGGTTTAATCTTTAATACTGTTGGAACACAAGTCAAAGAAAGCAAGTCTTAGAGCCTCCGGACACCTATCCAGTCTCCCCCACCCCCATCCCTTACACACACAGCCCCCAGCTCCTTCTTCCATATGGAAAACGGGTTCTTCCACCCTCCACCCGGAGCCTGGCCAAGCAACCCCACAGCTGGGCTGCAGGTCTCTTTAGGAGTATCTGCACTGTGCGCCCAGTCCCCTCACAGAAGAGGGGTCACCCAAAGCTTACCCGGGTGGTGGGAGCAGACCCTGGAGCGCGGGGTCGGTCAGCAGAGCGGAGTTCAGCGGAGCTGGGCTGGAGCTGAGCTAGCCCTAACACCGAAGTTGGGAGCCCACAGGCACAAAAGACAACTCTTACTGCTGGGTAGGTGGGGTGGGGACGGGTGGGGCAGAGCGCTTCTGCAACAATGCAGTCCGACAGGGATGTCCCGTGGTTCCACAGAGTTTTAAAGACCTTTTTTTTTCCAACTGTGGTCAAATACACGTAACATAAAATTTGCCATCTGAACTATTTTTTTTTAAAGATTTTATTTATTTATTTATTTGAGACAGAGAGAATGAGAGAGAGAGAGAGTACATGAGAGGGGGGAGGGTCAGAGGGAGAAGCAGGCTCCCTTACTGAGCAGGGAGCCCGATGTGGGACTCGATCCCGGGACTCCAGGATCATGACCCGAGCCGAAGGCAGTCGCTTAACCGACTGAGCCACCCAGGCGCCCGCCATCTGAACTATTTTTAAATGTACGGTTCAGTCTTGTTGAGTACATTCATATTCTGTACAACCGTCACCACCATCTGTCTCCAGAACTCTTCATCTTGCAAAACTGAAACTCTGTCCCCATTAAGCAATAATTCACATGCCCCCGTCCCCCAGCCCCTGGCAATCACCGTTCAGCTTATTCAAGTTTCTGTCTCTATGAGGTTGACCTCTAGCTATTTCATAGAAGTGGAATCATACAATAATTGTCCTTTGTGTCTGGCTTATTTCCCTTAGTAGAATGTCCTCAAGGCTCATGCATGTTTTGCCGTGTGTCAGAATTTCCTTCCTTTTCAATGCTGTGTAATATTCCTTTGTATGTGCATGCCACATTTTGCTTATCCATTCATTGGTCAATGGACACTTGAGGAACTTCCATGTTTTAGGTATTGACAATAATACTACTATAAACACAAGTGTACAAATATCTTTTCCAGACCTTGCTTTCCATTCTTTAGGATATGTAACCAGAAGTGGAATTTCTGGGTCATAGTGTTGGAAAGCAAGAATTCCTGTCCCTTTCAAGAGTCCTTCTTGATGGACTAAGAAGCAAATTGACATGAGACAGATTAACAGGACATCAGATTTAATAGCATAGGTCTCGGGCATCCACACACACATGGAAATTCCAAAAACAGGCAAGATGAGGCGTCTGTATCATCCTGAATGAAGGAGGAGGGAGTAGGAGTCTGGGATTTCAGAGGGAAGGGATATAGTTCACGGGGCAATAAGAAGAGCAGGTGTTTTGGGATGCCTGGGTGTCTCAGTCGGTTAAGCATCTGATTCTTGATATCGGCTCAGGTCATGATCTCAGGGTCATGAGATCGAGCCCTCCATTGGGCTCCGCACTGAGTGGGGAGTCTGCTTAAGATTCTCTCTCTGCCCCTACCCCTGCTTGGGCATGCTTTTTCTCCCCGCACCCCCTCCCCAAAAAAGAACTGCAGAAGAGCAGATGTTTGGTAACTAGATGTTTGCCTTGCCATCCAGATGGGTCACTCAGATAAAACTTATCTTTTTTAAGATTTTATTTATTTACTTGACAGAGAGAGACACAGCGAGAGAGGGAACACAAGCAGGGGGAGTGGGAGAGGGAGAAGCAGGCTTCCCGCCGAGCAGGGAGCCCGATGCGGGGCTCGATCCCAGGACCCTGGGATCCTGACGTGAGCTGAAGGCGGACGCTTAACAACTGACCCACCCACGCACCCCAGATAAAATTTATCTTTACTAATAACCTTTATTCTGGAAAGACCCTCCAATTTAGATTCTTCTATGTAGTTGTAGGGGGGCTGTCCTGGACCCCTGCAATATGTTTCTAAGATGTTTAAATGCTTGAATCCATTTGATCATCAAGGCCCCCGAGAAGCAGGGGCTGTATAACATGGACCATGTTCACAACCCTCTTCTCTCCCAGTCTTCTTTGGCTCCTTGACTGTCCACCATCTGCCCATGCCTGGGCACTCGAGTGCAGGGGACCCCCAAGCCGAGCTGGGCCCCCACCAGAAGAAGGGGAGCTCTGATGTCTGTTAATTCACACAGCCAAAGCATGTAACAGGCATCGTGCATGCACCCAGCCTAGCACATGGGGACGGGAAAAGACAGATGAGTGTGACTTGATCCTGTTCTTCAAGGAGCTCGGTTCCCTGGGAAAGCAGAGCGTGCAGAGCATGCAGGCCGAGAAAGGAGAGACCTGGGTGCAGGAACGGGCATGCAGCGGAGAGGCCGCTGGTGAAGGACTGACAGACCAGATTACAACATGCCCAACATGTTGAAAAATCAAATCCCCAACATGTTGAAACACAGGGTACGAGCCACCAAAAGGGGATTTAAATGCAGTAACTCTTTCACTGACTCTCAAAAAGCCAGCCACACAAGATGGAGTGAAGTGGCTTACGCTGTTGTGGAGAGTTGTGCCTGGTTGTGTGGAAACCAACTCAGAACCCCAGGATCGAAGATTATTTTAAAGGGAAGCCATCTGAGACTCAATAGATGGCAGAAAGAAGCCTTCTTGGCACTTCCCTTAACTGACTCAAAGCAGAATATGCTACAATATAAGGCAGGGAAGAGCTGCTCCCAAAGAAGGAAAGTAAACTTATGACTATAATTCCCTGAAGATAAAAGACCATTCAAACCTGCATAGACAAACACGATCACAAAGTTTCTGATCTTCTGTTTGTTCTCTTAAAAACCTATTTGCCTTTTTTGAAGAAACCAATTTGTTCTTTCCATAAAAGCCTTTTCTCCCTACTCCCTTCCCCTACTAAGTTAGGTGTTTTTTTTTTCTTTAATTTTATTTATTTGTCAGAGAGAGAGAGCGCACAAGCAGGGGGAGCAGCAGGAAGAGCCCGATGTGGGACTCCATCCCAGGACCCTGGGATCATGACCTGAGCTGAAGGCAGATGCTTAACCGACTAAGCCACCCAGGTGCCCCTAAGTTAGGTGTATAAGCCTCTAACTTACCATTTAGCAAGGTAACTACTTTTGTTAGCTCCAGTCTCATCTTTTTTTCTCCTGTTAATCTGTCTTTTGTCTCTTTTGCTGGACCCTACTCATAGGACCTAAAAGGATAGAGGAAAAGCTTTTCCACTTGACAGCAGCAAGGTTTAAAATGTTTCAACAGGGTGCCTGGGTGGCTCATTTGGTTAGGCGACTGCCTTCGGCTCAGGTCATGATCCTGGAGTCCCGGGATCGAGTCCCACATCGGGCTCCCTGCTGAGTAGGAAGTCTGCTTCTCCCTCTGACCCTCCCCCCTCTCATGCTCTCTCTATCTTATTCTCTCTCTCAAATAAATAAATAAATAAAATATTTAAAAAAATAAAATAAAACGTTTCAACAATGTAACTCACCAATAAACATATCTTCAGTCAAGATTTGGTATGGAAGTATCCAGAAAATCTGTTCTGGATGTGGCTAGTTCTCAAACTACAGAAACACAATCATGAGATCCTCTTTCATTGGATAAGGAAAATAAAGTTACTTGACTAAGTGTCAAAGCAGCGTATAGTCATTTACAAAAGAGAAAAAAAAACATACTTGATTAATATCACCTAGAAGGAAAATACTGAATTTAGCTAGGAAAAGGAACTCTTCTGCATATAGTACCACTGGGTAAAATTATTATCCTAGTACAAGATCCAAAGATGCTTCCAACCACCCACAACTGCTGAGCAATGAGGATCAGTTTGGATAGAGATCA